TTTCCCATTTCTTACTTAGGATTTCCTCTGGGAGCTCCTTCGAGGTGTGTGGGGATTTGGGATCCAGTGGTGGACAGATTTGAGAGAAGGTTGGCGGGTTGGAAGAAGCAGTATCTCTCCAAGGGCGGTAGGGTCAGAGCACCCTCTCTTGTCTTCCCACGTATTTTATCTCTCTTTTCCAGATTCCCTCTTCAGTTGCGGAAAGGATAGAGAGGTTGCAGCGTAATTTTCTGTGGGGGGGTGGAGGTGAAGAGTTTAAGTTTCATTTGGTGAGATGGGACCAAGTTTGCAGGCCAATTCGCAATGGTGGGTTAGGTCTCCGTAAATTGGTGCCCTTTAATAAGGCCCTCCTTGGGAAATGGTTGTGGAGGTTCGGGGTGGAGAGACATCGGCTTTGGAGGAGGGTTGTGGCATGTCGTTTTGGGCAAATGAGAGGAGGGTGGAGTTCTTTGGAAGTTAGAGATCCTTGGGGGGTGGGGGTTTGGAAATTTATTCGGAAGGGTTGGGATGATTTTTCCAAGCACATTCGGTTTCGTCTCAGAGATGGGAGGAGGATTCGCTTCTGGGAGGATGTGTGGTGTGGAGATGTGCCTCTTGCCCTCGCCTTTCCTCAGCTTTACAGGATTGTTATGGATAAGCAGGTCATGGTGGTTAACTGTTATCATCTTGATAATAGAAGACTGGTTTGGGATGTTCGATTCAAGCGTTCCTTTCAGGATTGGGAGATCGAGGAGGTCATTCGTTTCTTGGAGTTGTTATATCGCCAGAGGATTGTGGAGGAGGATTCGGATTGTTGGTCTTGGATTGCAAACTCTCAGGGGCGCTTTGAGGTGAGGTCTTTCTTCAAGTGCCTCTCTTTTGTTCCTGGAGTTCGTTTCCCTTGGAAGTCTGTTTGGCGATCCAAGGCTCCTCTTAAGGTGGCTTTCTTTGTGTGAACTTCGGTCCTGGGTAGGATTTTAACCCAGGATAATCTGAGAAGGAGAAGTCAGGTGGTGGTCAACCGTTGCTCTATGTGTCTTAGTGATGAGGAGTTTGTGAATCACCTTCTTATTCATTGCCTTTTGGCTAGAGAGTGTTGGGTTTTGATGCTTGGCTTATTTGGTGTTTCTTGGGTTATGCCTGGATCTGCTAGAGGGTTGATTGAGGCGTGGAGAGGTTGCCCTGTGGGGGCTCTCAGTCAGGATGCGTAGAGGGCTACGCCGCTTTGTGTGTGGTGGTGTTTATGGCTTGAAAGGAATAGGAGATTCTTTGAAGGAAAGGCTTTGTCGATTTCGGTGCTTAAATTCTCGATTATTTCTACTCTTTTTTGTTGGGTTTCAAGAAGAGATCATTGTTCTTTGGAGGAAGTAGTTGATTTTTTAGCCTCTTTGAAGGCTTGAGGCCTTTGTGGTCTTTTGTATTTGCTTGGGTTCCGCTCCCCTTCTGAGCGTTTTTTTTATAAATTTTTACTTATCAAAAAAAAAAAAAAAAAAAAAAAAAGATTCTATCCCATAAAGCACAACTGGTCTAATAGCTGTTTTATAGAACTTAACTTTCAATCTTAGCTGGATACGCCAATCAGACAACATACTAGGTGCATTCCTTCATTTAACCCATCCTGCCTTGATTATGTGATTAACTTCATCTCCAATTTTTCCTTCATTATGAATAATTGAGCCTAAATAACAATATTGTTTACTTTTTGTACTTTTGGAACCTCAATCTTCACCGCATTCCTATTTGTATTTCTGGATTTACTAAAGTACTCCATATATTCATTTTTGTTTCTACTTGTCTTAAGACACTTTTAATTCTAGAGCTTTATCCAAACCTTTAATGTTAGAAATTTAATTCTTCTCTAGTTTCATCAATTAAAACAATATCATCAGCAAATAACTTATACCATGGTATCTCATCATGAATGCGTCTTGTTAGTGCATCCATAACCAAGGCAAGAAGATATAGGTTTAATGTTGGCCATTAATGTAAGCCTACAATAATTGGAAATTAATTTATTTCTCCCAGAGTCATTCCAACTACAGTTACACATCTATCATACATGTCTTTCATTGTGTCAATATATCCTTTTGTAATTCCATTCTCTTCTAAAATCCTTCATATTACATTTCTAGGTACCATATCACAGGCTTTTTCTAAATCAGTGGAAACCATATGAAGATCTCTCTCTCTCTCTCTCTTATCTATGCCATAAGTATATAGCCTCAATAGTTGACCTATTTGGTATATTTAAATTGGTTTTCTAACATTTCTGCTATCCGTCTTGGTTGTTCTATCACTCTCTCTCAAAGGTATATGGTATGACATTAATCTAATACTACAATAATTAATACAATTTTGCATATCCTCTTTGTTTATTTACACATGTATTAAAATACTTTTGCACTGCTCATCAGGCATTTTCTTAGTTGCTATTGTCTTATTAAACATTTTCTTAGCCAAGACACGCCATCAACCCCTAGACATTTCCAAACCTCAATAGGGATGCCATGTGGTCCTAAACCTAAAGCCTCTGATGATTTCATCTCCCTTAATACATTTTTAATCTCGCACTCCTTGGCCCTACGAAAAAATATGTTATCCTAACGTTATTATATTCTTCTAAGTCTAAACTTCGTTGATGATTTTTATTTAACAATTTCTCAATGCAGCTTTTCCATCTTTCTTTAATTTCGTTATATTTTACTAAAGCCCTTAATCTTCACTCTTAATGCATTTAAATGGTGACTATATTGTTAATTTGTTACTGGTGTCTTGTTATATTTTGTCATTATAATTATATTATCTTCCCATATTAGGTAGTGCTCATTGCATGCTTGACTCTTGTTGCTATATATACGATCTCTTTGGGGGAAAAAAAGAAAGTAAGATTGGACTCTAAGGTGTCTTAATCTTGTTTCCAACAATGTCTGAGATTTCTACTTGTAGACCTTAGTATGTGTTTCTGCCACACAAACAATTATTTAGAAGTGTCTAAGATGTGTCAGATAGTGTAGAAATTATGACATTTATTGTAAAACTCTTGACACGTTCATGAGATTTCAAAGATGCGTCTAGGAGTTATTTGCCAGGAAAAAGACGTGTCTAGGAGTGTTTGTAAAGTATCAGTGTCCGACATGTATTGAACACACACTGCACATTCATAGAAGTTGTTCATGCTTCTGAGTGAATGCTCCTCAGTGAACAGTCATAATGATTCATCGTATGTATAAGTTTTCCAGTTAACTACCATGTTTACATCAGTACCATTGTTGTATCATGTCTTTATAAAAATAAGGCAAGCACTTTTAGTAACAAAACTAGCAATACAAATGATCTTGGATTATCAGGTGTTACCGTGTTGGCATGCCTCAGAGCACTCAATTCCCATCGTTTTTCCTCCATGCATTTCAGGAGACACACTTGGCTCTTTTGTATATGTTCCGCGTGAAGTGATGAAGCAACGCATGCAGGTTCAAAGCACAAAAAAGTATTGGAGTTCTGTTGTCCTGAAAGACAATGCGTGCATGAAACCTGGCATGCAAATGTATGGTTACTATTCAGGAATGTTTCTGGCTGGTTCTTTAATATGGAAGGAACAGGGGCTAAAGGGATTATACGCAGGGTATATTTGATATCACTCCCCAATCCTTAATCTCTTTTTACCGTGATCTTTATTTGAACACATTAATACCATAGATTGTCAAGAAGAATCTTTTGACTCGATATTCTTCATGCTGCACTGATGACCAATTCTGAATAATACTTTTTTGTCTTGAATCTAGAGGACTATGATAAGCAAAAGTACTCTTTAGATTTGTAAACCAAACATCCATTCACTCCCTCTCCTCCTCTCTTTTTTCTCTGCATTATAGACAATTCCCAAGGGACAGTCATGAATAAATGGATTTTTGTAAATCATCAAAATTTCACTATTTTGCTAATAGGTGCCATGTGAACAAGCAAGATTAAGACTGGAAATCCTATTACGGAAAACTAATGTCGTTATGCCCTTGGATATGCATTTATAAAAGTTGAACTAGAAGCATGGAGTTCTTGCAATTGGTCTCATTATGACTTTATTGTTTTTTCTTTCCCCGTGGCCTATACATAACGTTGCATCGGTATAAATTGTTTCATGTAGTTTCTTCTTTGAATTTGTTGGCTTATGTGCATCATTTTCTTTTTCATTTTTTTGGGCAGATACTGGTCTACACTTGCAAGGGATGTGCCATTTGCTGGTCTAATGGTGTTTAAATTTATGAGCTTTGCAGTTTCTTGCTAATAATCATCAATTGACTTGTCTATTCATTGAATTAATTGTAGTGTTCTCACAGTGCATGCTACATATTACGTGTTTCCAAGCTACAGTGATTTTTGCAATCTAAGCTATTCTTGGTTTTGGACTAATAGTCCTTTTTGAAAATTTGAAGACTCACATCTTTCGAACAATCATTGGTCTCAACTCTCAAATCCAAGATTGTCTGAGAATTCCTGCTTTATCTTTGCCTTTTTGTTCTTTTAATATATTATTTGCCTCTTGGGCTGCAGTAGAAACCAGAATTAATAAAAAATTGGGATGCCGGCTGATTGGTAATTCTGGCCTTTTTGATCATTAGATCTGATTTGGGAAAAATAGTCGTCAATGGCATTGCTATAACTGGGGCTTCTTTGCTTCCATTCTAATGGCTACATTGTCTTTTTCTTTGTCGTTGTTGTCATCATCAAAATTGCAATCATTCTTGCTCAGATATCAGTTGGGCTTCTATGTTCTGATTTCTTGCTTTCATCGTTGTGTTGTCATCGTCGTCATTGTTCTCGTTCTTGCTCAGATATCAGTTGGGCTTCTATGTTCTGATTTCTTGCTTTCATTGTTGTCGTTGTCATTGTCCTTATAATAGTAATAATGGTGATTATGATGCTCTAACATCTAAATTACAACTATTCTTACTCAAATACTCAATTGGGTTTCTGTGTTTTCATTTCTTGTTTATGCATTTATTTGGGGGTCGGACACTTTGCAGGTCACCTTTTACGAGGCCCTAAAAGATCTGACGGAATATGGGAAACGAAAATGGATGCTTAACCCAGATTACCATGTTAATAGTTCTCTTGAGGGGCTCTTGTTGGGAGGATTAGCCGGTGGTATGTGTCTTTTCTATGTTGCTTACTATGTAGAATGGTTACCTAGCACTGGTCCTGCCTATGTGTAGTATTGGAAGGTGATGACTGGATACAGACCTAATCTTTGCTATTATTTTGCTAAAAGTGATTGCTCTCAGACTTGTGATATATATCCATATTAATTGAAATTTCACACATTCAAAAGGGATGGGAACAAAGTAGTCCTAACGTGCTTGGTTAGAGATTTTGCCAATTTTAAGTTTGAGGCTGTTAGAATTGGCTGAGGTTTTATTATATACATTTGGTCATTGGCTTGTGTTTTTGGTTGAGAAGACAAAGCACAGGTGATTCTAGATCTAATATAGTTGTACACTCTTTATGGTACAATGGCTGGTTGGATGCATTTCATAGGATATGGACGACTGAAGGCACAAGGGGAATGTTCCGAGGTAGCATCCCCAGAATTATATGGTATGTTCCAGCCTCTGCTCTTACGGTCATGGCTGTGGAGTTCCTCAGGGACCATTTCAACGAGGCATTAAACGACGGTAATAAGCAGAAAGTTGCAAGCTTATCAACAACCGACAAAAAGAAGTCTTGCTTGCAAGAGGTGTCTTAAAGAACTACAGAATTACAATTTTTATCTTTTCTTTGGTCGATCGAGCGGAAACATAAAGGCAAAGAGAATGTATCTTGAGATAAACCTTCAAGGGATGTAGTTTCTTGACAGTGGCTTTGTTCGAATACGACCAAGCTAATCATCTAGTCCATATAGTGATGGAATTTCACAGATTCGAAGGACACAACGAATTGTATTTGTCTGATGAAAACCTCAGCTACGTTGAATCAACGTATCGGGATCATTGGATTTGGCTTTGAAAAGTCTCCCTTGTTACACATGTAGAATTCGAACACAAGCAATAATCGATTTTTTTTTATCTTGTAGAAAATAAAAAATAAAAAATAAAAAATTCATCATGTTTTGGTCCTGTTTTGTCATTTGTTATTTTCTGTATTAATGAATTTCCAGATAATGGTTTATTATACTATTAATAGTGATATTTAGGAAAATTTTATTCATTTGGTGGAAAAAATGAAACATTATGGCTTGTTGAAATCCATGCTTTTAGTTTTCAGTTGAACATGAACATAAAATGTATTCCATAGGTGATGCTTATTTTCTTTTTTTGCCTCCAAGCTTGGTCCTTTTAGTGCTTAGAAGGAATATAACAACATTGAAAACTTAACCCCAAGGGATTGGTTTAGTGGTAAAATCACTTGGGCTTTCGGACACAGGAGGAAAAAAAACAAAAGAAGGTACATCACTGTGTCCCCAAAAAAAAAAAAAAAAAAAAAATGTATCACTTGGTCATCTACCTATTTATTCAATACGCTCTCTAAATTGTTTCAAATTCGATGTAATTAGTATTTTATTTATTTAAATTGTTTCATAAATGCATGTGATTTTGGAGGGGTGTAATTAGTTTGGGGCTAAACAAATCTTTACATATTCTTAAATTTCATCCTTTTAAGCCTGGTAATTTTCATTTCTCAAATTTTTAGTTCCAAGCCCAATCACTTATATAATAAATATACGATTATCACCACTAATAAGCAATTGTAACAATAAATGTAGCCAAGATTATTGAAAAAGAATTACAACAAAATATTTTTCAACATTTACCGAATTATTATTTTTTAATTTACCCAAAAAAAAAAAAAAAAAAAAAAAGGCGTTTCAACCTCCCAAATAATTTTATAACTGACAAGTTTATGATTGTATTTGTTGAAAAGTTTTTATCTTGTAAAACACAAAGTTGCAAAAACATGTTTCTTTGTGTGTGTTGGGTTTTAAGATCAAACACGTGTTTTATTTTGTATGGGCCTTTGTACAATTATTTAAAGATAGACATGCAATAACTAAAAAAAAAAAAAAGGTATAATGAGTGGGGAGTTTAAATATCTTATATTATTAGGTTTTGGAATTTTTTTTAGATGTGTTGAGTAATTATGAAAATATAGTATTTGATTTGCTTTGACCTAAGAAGCACATACACTTTTACGAAGTGTTGTGTCCCACGCTATGTCTGACACTAATTTTTCGACACTAATTTTTCATAGACACTTCCAAACACATGTCCAACACTTTATAGCTTTGTCCATTATTTAAAAATAAATTTTATAATTTCAAAGACTTGACTTACACATCTTCGATACTTGGTGACACTCCCAACACATCCTATACTAAAATTAATATAATGAACATAAATTAAAGTGGTTTAATTTATAAATAACAAAAATAAAACTATAATGTTCCCAGGGTTATAGCAATGTCGTCAGGAATTTTGAAGGTAAGTCCTTGAGGTCTCACTTTCGAATCACACTCCTAACTTGAATGATGCGTATTGTGGGACCGATACATATGTTCTGAGAAAAAAAATAATAATAAAAAAACAAAACTATAATGAAAAAATAGAATAATAATATTATATATAGTATAATATATTCTTTTTGATGTTCGAATAATGATATTTTCTAACTCAAGTAACTTTAGTATTGAAATTATAAATTAATTAAAATTTTATGATTGCCTCAATCAATAGAAATATATACTGTCTGATGTAACTAATAAAATCAATTTACCACATACAAATATTCTGTTTAATGGGTAATGATCTGTTGATCATCGGTGAGTAAACAATTCGTTTGCATCATAAATAATAACTATTAAATATAAAAAGAGTAGTTACTAGAAAAACAAAGCAATCGCATTCAACAATCATTCATGCATTATGTGTATAAATTTATGCTCATGAGCGAGCAAGAGATCAATTTTATCGTAACAAATAAAATCAATCATTACAATATTTTTGTGTTGTTAATGATATTATTTACCACCCTACATATGTACTGTTTAACATCATTAACTAATAAATAATCTGGCATTACCACCTCAAATTATGATATATTCAATTTTAATATGGATATAGATGTGATAGGCCTAACTGAGTTGAAATGTTGGACAATATGGGGCCTTGGATATGGGGATAAACGACAACAATATTTCTGAGGCAGATACTTACCATTACTTATAAATTAGGAATGTAATAAAAAAAAATAATAAAGAGGGTGGCTGAATTTTTTTTATTTATTTATTACTTTTTTAATTCCATAATTATAGACTTCATATGTATTTATAATTAGACCACCTATCAGAAGAATCACTTACTCACACACTAGTGAGTAGGTGAGTACATAATATTAAATGTTTGAAGTATATGTTTCAATTTTTAGTGAGTAGGTGAGTATATAATATTAAATGGTTGGTGTATATGTTTCTCTTTTTAGTTACAAGTTGCAACAATATATTTTTTATTTTTATTTTTTATAATTATAACTTTTCTAAGTGTTTAATTTTGAAAAGAAAAAAAAAAAGAGAGTATATTTCTTTCGTTGTAAATTAAGTGTCAGTCTTTAAAAATTGTCTTTAAATTTGTAACTCTAATAATTTTTAAAGATGGACATTTAATTCTAGAGTAATCAAAATCATGACAGCAAAGCAAAAGCATACAATAAGAAAATGAGTGATGGAGATCAAATATTGATATTAGTCGTGTCAGTGATTCAGTGAATGATTAATACTTTACTTTTTTCATGTGCTCTCAATTATTTTCTCCTACTTTACTGTATTGTGGCCAACACTTTTCAACATCCCTATCTTTTGGTAAAGCATGTGCAAAGACTTTTGAATATTCTAATCAACCCACTTGTGCTTTTACGCTGGGTTTGAATTTGAGTAGTTGCATAAATCAATTGGATCATCATATTGCTCAATATTTCAAAAAACTTACCCGTCTCTTTCTTCCTTCATTTCTTGCTTTGATTTCACAAGCGATCTATCCATGGAGGTTGCCGGGATTTTTCTGGGGCCGATGTTTGAGGTGTTGCTTGACAAGCTAGTCTCTCTCATTTCTCACTTTTTTGCTATGTCAAGAAAAGTCAACAAATAGGCCTCGACCCCAAAAAATAAAAGTCGTCAAAATACTTTCAAACGGACAAAACATGTGAAAGTAAAAATACCGGTATAAAATATATTGAATAACAAAATTAACGGCGTCGAAAAATAATCCGGAGTTGAAAAATCCGTCTCGGACCCGCATGGTGAAGTCCCGAGTAAAAAATCTAAAAATAAATAAAATAGTTCAAAATGCATTTCTAAGAGTCCAGAATTTGAAAAAAAGTTAAAAAGAATCCCGAGAACCCTGTACACATATCCCAATGCCATAAAAATAAAAGAAAAAGAAAATAAAAAAAATCGAAAAAAGGACCGGTCTCCACAGGTGCGTTTGTGGAGTACATTACTTTTTTTAAATGTATATGATACGTTGTGGGATTATTAATAATTTTTGGGAGGCACTTGGGACCTTTGTTACTTTGAGAATCTGAGAGTTTGGCGCTCGCGGGTGAGCTCGGGCTTCCCAATTTATAGTGGCAGCTTAGGTAGTTCCTTGCAGGTTAGTAGTCCAAAAATAGTTATTTTTTTGGTGCATGTAGTGCCCATGATTGGGGGTGTGTGAGCGTCCAAATTATTCCTATTATGTGATTTTGTATTTGATTTCCAAGTTGACATCCATGTATAGTTGTAACTTGGCTCTTTCGGATTTAATGTATATATATCTTGCGTTGTGTATATACTTGAAATGATCCTATGATTATTGATTCAATTATTAGTTCTCGGATGTTTTTTTAGAATTTTCATTGAATTAGACGTTTAGGTGGTATGCTCCATGCTTGTATAGTAGGTGCTATACAAGCGAGGACAAAAAAAATATAGTTTAATGCATTTTCCTACGAAGTAACTTAAATTACTCACCCTTGTTGATTTAACATTTTTCAGATAAGAACGTACTCTATTTGAACGCACCTCCATCTTAGCTTGGATTTGCTTAGCTTACTCTTTTCAACTATTTTGGATGACATTTACATGTTATGTGTTAAGTATGCTCTTTTTGTATTAATCTTGGAAATGTAATAATATGGATTTGTGTATTTTGAGAAGGAAAATGGCGTGGGAACTCGTCCTTGTCTTTTGAAGTCCTTGAGTGATTTCCTCTTCTTCTCTTCTCTTTTGTAAAACATGGATAAATGTTGTAATGAGGCGAAAAGGTCATTTTAATGCTAATAAATGAATTTCCATCTTTTAATGCATACTTTCATGTTCAATGCATACATCATTTGGCTCACAATTGTTCTTGTCATGTTCTTTTTGCCATGAGTTGGTTTTTCCCTGCATTTTTGACAATTTGGACATCATTGGTACTCATAAGTTTGATATATGTAGAATCCATGGTCATGGTACCTTGAGAGGACCTTTTTTTCAGCTCACAGGAAGTTTCGATCGACTTGTGATATAAGTCAGCCGATCGACAGACTATTTTTGGCTCGGACAAAGAGTGTACTAGCTGAAAGACACGTTTCAGTCGGCTGACACATGCCGTCAGTCGACTGAAAGTGCAGTTTCAGCTGGTTGATCCTCCTAGAAGTTTTCCCTTTTTAGTTTTTAAGGACAACTTTGATTTGCCGACTTCTGATAGCCATATCTCATTCATTTCTAATCTAAATTAGGTCATTCTTAAATCCATTTTGAACGTCTTGAAGTTAGCTTTCCATTGATACCAACCTCATTCAAAAAATCCAACTACAGTGAGACTTATGTTTGTTTTTATGAGACAATTTTGTGATAGCTCGTAATTAGAGAATGCCGTTTTGTGACAACCATTTCTCTAGATCTTAGAATCTTGTTTAATGTTCACATATGCCTATTTTTATATTAATGGACTTTATTTGACTAATCATTCATGATCACATTAGACATGTGGGCTAATGTGGGTTTTGGCTTCCGCATTCGGGTCTGGTTTTGAATCGGGTTAGACATTTTTGGTTAATGCACCTAATAATGAAATTTGGTACGTTACAAGTATATAATATT